ACACCTATTCATACAGCTGTACTGAAGGCGAACTCACCTGCAAAGGTAAATATCACAAACCCCAACCAACCCGTCTTTCCAAGACAAGGCCATGCAGGAGCAACTCTGTAGGCTGTCCTGAGTCCCAGGCTTGGTTGAGCCTTTGGTGGATGAAGATGTCATGAAAAGGGCTTTGGGCAATTCCTATTATAGCTCTACCTGGAGGAGGTCTTTGTTATGTAACATATTCTGGCCCAGGCCTTAATGGCCCACCCATCAACAAAGGTGGGGGTGAGTTTCTGCTTCTGAGTTTCTACTCTTTTTAGGGGAAATATTCTGCCTTTTAAATATTTCCTAGGATATTTCAATTTTCTAGGAGAGGGGTGGGTGCTACCTTCCTACAGGGGCGTCGTCGTGAGAGCACAATGCAAGTTCTATCCCTTTTCGCCTAGGCGCGCAACTTCACAACCAGTATTGAAAAGACACAGGGCTGCGTCTCGCAATAGTGCAGCGTTTGTTTTGGTCATGCCTCCCCCGAGGTTCACCATTTCCTTCTTCCCTCCAGTGGACAACGATGAGTGTAAAGCCTTTATTTGTAATTGTGACCGCACAGCAGCCAAGTACTTCGCCGGAGCCCCTTACAACAACGCGAACTGGAATATCGACACCGACACGTTGCCAATGATATTTGAGAGGCTTCAGCGCAAGGACTGTGGCAGTTACTCACCTGCGCGTGGCAATTCTCTGGATGGGCCTCTATTATATATATATCAAAATAGAAAATTATATATATATGATTATTAAAAAACAAAAGGAACCTTTTCCTGAACAATAAAGTGAAGTGCCGATACCCGATTAGGTTTTCTGCTCCGTTTTCTTTTATTTACAGGAAGGAAAGTCCTGTGTTGGGTATTGGAGGCCATGATTTCTCCTCAGAATCTTTTGCAAAATTGTTGCATTGTTATTTTTTCCACGGAGGCTGTGAGATTCAGACATGCTGTCTCTCTCTCTGTGTGTGTGTGTGTATGTGTGTGTATGTGTTTGTGTGTTTATGTGTGCAAGAGAGAGAGGGAGAGGAGGGAGAGAGGGAGAGAAAGAGAGGGAGGGAGAGGGGGAAGAGAAAAAGAGAGTGAGGGAGAGAGAGAGAAGGAGATGAAGAGAAAGAGAGGGGGAGGGGGAGGGAGAGAAAGAGAAGGATGGAGAGGGAGAAAGATGGAGGGAGAGGGGGAAGAGAAAGAGAGGGAGGGATGGAGAAAAAGAGAGAGAAGGAGGGAAAGGGGGAGAGAGGGAGAGAGAGAAAGAGAGGGAGGGAGAGAGAGAAAGAGAGGGAGGGGGGGAGGGAGGGAGAGAACAAGGAATACAGATGCTCCTTCACCCAACCAACTTCTCCCTTCAAAAGCTGAAAAATTTAGCTCCCTCGCTAGCTCCAGGCACTAGGATCTCCATGTAGTCCTCAACTTAGTGACCATGCAAAGTTACAACAGCCCTGAAAAAAGGGACTTACAACCATTTTTCAGACTTCCGACCATTGTAGCATCCCTACGTGATTTATGTTCGGGTGCTTGGCAAGTGACTCACACTTACGATGGTTGCAGGGTCCCTGGGTCGTGCCTTTTGCGACCTTCTGAGAAGCCAGATTCACTTAACAACAGTGTGACCTGCTTCACAACAGTGGCATCCAAAAAAAAAAAGCTAGTAAACTGAGGCCAACTGGGTGGTGAACTAAAACGGAGCAAAACCACGCATTGAATTCTGGGAGTTGAAGTCCACTGATCTTGAAATCTCCAAGTTTGGTTGCCTCTCCTTTAGACGTTGGTGACCCGAAGAGAAGAGAAGATAATAGAGAGAATATAGAATAGAATAGAATAGAATAGAATAGAATAGAATAGAATAGAATGGAATAGAATTCTTTATTGGCCAAGTGTGATTGGACACACAAGGAATTTGTCTTGGTGCAAATGCTCTCATTATACATAAAAGAAAAGATACATTCGTCAAGAACCATCAGGTAGAACACTTCATAATAGTCACAGGGTACAATAAGCAATCAAGCATAATAGGAAACAGTCAATATAGATTAAGGATACAAGCGATAGTGCGGAAGGGAAGGATTATGAAACCCTTCATAATGCAAGGAATAGAAACCCTTCCATTCCTCACTCTCCTGTCCGAGCTGAAGTAGCTTCTGGATTGAGAAGCGAAACGTCTTCAAAGAAAAATCAAAGAAGTCCAGTTGCCTCCCCAAAAAAGCCCCTTTGGGTCTGCCAAAAGGACTGTGTTGTAGACAGGAGATTGTGTTCTGACCTCAGCTTCCCCAAAAAGCACTAAGCAGACCCTTTTTGTCCTGGCAAAATCCCTTTTTATGAAATGAAGGTGAATTTCTTGCATTCATGTTCAGCCAAAGGCCTGGCAAACAGTCTTTCAAGGGTGTAATTGGGAGTATAGTCCTTATCTACCTCGGAGAGTTGCCAAGTAAATATGTCCAAACGCAGTGCTGACTAGGAAGGGCTCAGCACAGAGATACACAGACACATCTTCATACCTCTGCAAGGAATGAATTGTTTCCTGCAAAAGCCCCCTCCCCTTTTGCTCCTCTTTTAATCCCTATGGGAGAAGCTATTCACCGTACACCTGTGACCTTAATCCCACGTCAACCCTGAG